GGGTGTCAGCAAATGTGATGTTTCCTCATATAGGTACTTCCATCTTAACGACACGGCAGCACATTATTATCTAAGCTTCTCTCTCTATCTATCTAATAAGAGTCTCAAAATTGTCGCACTGGTACATCAGATGTGACATTATTATTAACAGCAAGGATACTGTATCTGGGTATCATTCACGTTGTTTAACGCTATTTTAATGCTATTATGGAAGATTCAATCTTGGTTTGTTTCCTTTAGAACCTTTTTCTTTGGAGTACACTTGTAATCAGACTATGATATAACGCTTAATGTTGCGCAAGTTTAGAGTGAATCATTGGTTGATTTCTCCAAACGTCGCTGCATCAGTAGAAACATTCTTCATTTTTAATGCCTTGTCAAGAAAGCGCATGATATTGCTGCATTGATTAGTTTCATAATTTTTCTAAAGAGAACCCAAGCATTTTGACAGTTCATACGAAATAAAGAATTGATTTTATATTATAAGCGTGCGTTATGTGCAAAAAAATAAAAAGTATATACAAAAATACAACATTAAGAATAAACAAATTAAAACAATAGACATAATATTGATTTATATAAATGATATATAGGGTTAGCTATTTAGCAAAAGACTCCAAAACAAAGGTCTATATTAAAATGTGTTTTTAAATACAAAGAAAGGCTTACTGTGATAAAAAGTAAGATAGGTATAAGAATTATACAACAAAACGTGCTATTTTTTGAGCAAAAGTTAAATTCATAGTTTCCAGCTCCATGGTTATTTCTATTTCGCATTAAAGGTTGACGCTCAGAACGGATATTTGTAAGATTTGGAACACGATTAAAAATACCAAATTCCATTTGATACATAGCTGTATAATGAAACATTCTAGAAAAAATAAAAAGGAGAAAGCCGGGGAAAAAAAAGCCGAATTGGAGGTAATAATTGCTAGGTAATGAATCATAGCTATTGCTAAGACACAAAAGTGCAGTAAGGAGAAAGGTAATGGATTTGACGTTCTTATTTGTTGAAGTGAGACAGACAAACACGGAAATTAAGATGAAAAGAAAAGTAAGCATGGACCAAAGCGAATCTTTTCCGTGTTTTATCTCCATTTTAAAAACAAATGCATGAGCAAAACTCATTATACATAACCAGATGCCGGTTCTTAAGGTCCAGGTTTTTTCTGGTTCGCTACTATCAATACTCCGGAAATGCCAATTGAACCAAATAAGAAACATAGATGTTAAAAACATAAAAATAACTAAAATGGACTTAGCACCTTCACAAGATGTATCAGATGTATAACATGAAAGAATGATGCTTGAATAAAATCCAAATTGAATTACAATATCATCAACTGCACGGAATATACGAGTCGCTGTGTTATTTCTAAGGTTGCCGAGTTCGTAAAAGATCCATGCAGCAAGAGATATAACTGTCACTTCATTGGGCATTGGAATCGAAAAACCACTAAAAGCCATGACTTGAGAAACGAGTGATTCGAAAGAGTAAACAGCACTGAGGGTAAATGATAAACTTTGAAAAGACACTCTCGGAAATAGCTTTTTTTTAATCAAGATATGTAGAAACTGTATTTTGCAACTTATAAAATGTTCTGAGTGGTGGATATTTTTTATTGATGGCCTTGCTAACAGTTTTATTCAAATATTCATTGTTTTAAAAATCCAGAATATTAAAATTTTATTCGAAATTTTTTGGGGTTTTGGGGGTACATTGCAACCACTTTTAACTAATTAGCCTTCGTTAGGAGTACAGAAAACCCAAATAAAGGAACAATATGACTATATCAACGTATAACGATAAATTTTCAAATTGCATATTTTTAATTCCTATTTTGGTTTATCGACTGAAAAGATCTTAATTGTTGTCGTTTTTGGAAAAAATGTCATTGAAATTACTATTTTAATGCAGTACCTCTAAAAAAATTTCGTATTTCAGCAACGCGAAAAAACGCCAAAATTGAAATAATCCAAAAAATAAGCATTTGTATCTCAAAATTTCATCTATGAAGCCACCTTTTGCGTGTAAAATTTTGGTATTACTTCGGCTTTCTAACATTAATTTAATGGCTGAAACTTAATTTCAAAGTTTTATAGTGAAAATTTTTAATAATATAATTGTTCTTTACCAAGCCATACATTTTGTGATTTAAAAGCGCTCATTTTAATTAGTTATTTTATTATCTTCAGTGACAATGCTCTTGTGGTATTTCTGTGTTATTATGTGAGTATTCTGTGAGTATTCTGTGGAAGTTAGCTGTTTTATGCCTTAATTGTGTGATCATTGTTTTCAATATACAAATATTGCCTTGCAATCATAGATTTTAGAATATATGATAATATATATCAACTTCGTGCTTAGATCATATATGCGATAAGGCGAGACGAAATGAGTTATTTCGTAGCAATGCATATCCATGAACTTGGAAGAGGAATTAATAAAGGTAGCAATTGTAAAAGTAATACAGTCGAAATTGGTATGATATAGAATAGGAAAGAAACTACCATTTTTTACTATGTAAAGAGCGGTAGGCTTGGATTTGTAAAAACTTCAATTTTTTATAACTTTTTAACCACAAAGATGGATCATTTCTTCTTTCTTCCCTTGATAAATCTATGGTATATAGCAGAATCACATTTAATTAATTGATATATAAGAATATATGTCTATTAAATTAAACTTACATTATAGTCTTTAGATAGTAGGTATATTAAGATATGAAAATGATTTTTATTTTTTCATTTTTTGATCATTATGAAGACATATTGGAGACATCGTCTTGTAAAAGGACTGGCGAAACGCAACAGCACAACAGATAGATGGGAAGACTCCGGGCCTTGTAAAAAGGATAAACGAAGTTTACGAAAAAATGCTTATCTGTCGAGGGAGTCAAAAAAAACGTCGAAATGGAATTATTTAGATTTAGAATATTTGAGTGCATGAGAGTGAAAACCTGCCTGGAAACCGATTTAATGATTTACTATTATCGGTTTCCAGGTTTTTTATTTGTTTAGATCAAGTTTAGCTTTTATCTTCTAGTTATCAAAGAATTTTAGTTAATTGGTCTTTCTAAGTTCCATAAATAAAAGAATTAGGATGGTTATGCAATTAAGAAATAAGAGGTTGAATTAGTTTATCTCAAACTTTTTGATATATTTCTGTTTTTGTTTCTATTTCAAAAAGAAAATTGTCTGTAGTTAGGTTCACTTCTGATTCTGTATTAGGTAGAGAATCATTTGGGATTAAGTCTATTTCTAATTTTTTGGTTAGAATATTATTTAAAAAGACTTTCATATTGATAGGATTAGATGGAGTATCTATTGCAATATTTACTAGAGAGATAATATCACTAGTATTATTAGAGTTATCAAGATTCTACAAAAAATATTAGAAGAATAAATTTTCAAATTGTTTTGGATAGTATATCCTGTCTTCAAATAGTAAAGAAGTATTAGAGAGCTTAGATAATAATGTGCTGCCGTGTCGTTAAGATGGAAGTACCTATATGAGGAAACATCACATTTGCTGACACCC